GATAGCCCTCGTGTAGCTTTGCGCGAAATTCAAAAACAAACCATATTTTATTTTGTTATGCAGTAGTTAGACTAGTGGCTCGTCAATGTACAGTGTAAAGATGACTCGTGGAATCGCTTTTCTGTGAGATGGTAAATCAATGAAGTATAGATAAACTACCTTTTGTTCAATGATTACAAAATGAAATATTTAGTAGGCTAGTTCAGATCATCTTGTGAATGTTTAGCATAATAATTATCAGTGGTTCATTGTTTCCTCTTCTTACTCCAGCGAGAGCCTGTTCTCAAGCAAGAATTGAGCCGAGTGAGAAATCCAACTCGAGTGTACCACTGGCGAACGCAGATATGGTGTCCACAACAATGGCGAGTCAGGCGTGTATTTCAGGGAGTAGCTGAAGTTGTGCAGACAGCTATTAGCAGGACGTCATCATCTTTGGCTCATCCTCGTTCAGATCCAAATCAGGTAAAGAAAAACTTTTAAGAAATGATCAGTGTATTTTTACTTCAGTGACTTTGTGCCAAACGTTAAAATTTGCTGACTTGACTTAAGTAATGAGCAGTGTATTTTTACTGCAGTGACTTTGTGCCAAATGTTAAAATATGCTGACTTGACGTAAGTAATGAGCAGTGTATTTTTACTGCAGTGACATTGTGCCAAATGTTAAAATTTGTTGACTTGACTTAAGTAATGAGCAGTGTATTTTTACTGCAGTGAATTTGTGTCAAACATTAAAATTTGCTGACTTGAATTAAGTAATGAGCAGTGTATTTTTACTGCAGTGAATTTGGGTCAAACATTAAAATTTGCTGACTTGAATTAAGTAATGAGCAGTGTATTTTTACTGCAGTGACTTTGTGTCAAATGTTAAAATTTGCTGACTTGACTTAGGTAATGAGCAGTGTATTTTTACTGCAGTGACTTTGTGCCAAATGTTAAAATTTGCTGACTTGACTTAAGTAATGAGCAGTGTATTTTTACTGCAGTGACTTTATGTTGAAAGTTAAAATCTTTGTTTCGTCTGTATTGATTTGTTTTTGAAAGTTACTATCTGTGTTTCATTTAGAAAGGGCATGGGTTGTCTCTGTAGTAGGACTTTGGATTTTTTTAGCTGGTGACCTTGGTTCAAGTTTCATGCAATACCCCAAAAGTACGATTTTTTTAAGCTGTGAAAGAATTATAAGAATGATAGTCAATCCGTCAATGTAGGTGGTAGGGTGCAGATGACTGGCTGCCTTCCCTCTGGTTTTTAATTCAAAATTTGGAAACAAATATATTTCATTTGTAAATTTTCAGTCAAAAAATGAGATCATTATTTTTTTATTGTATTTACTGCCAAAAAAATTCTGACCTTCAAAAATAGTAAAGCATTACTATAAAGTATTGTACTAATCACAGCATATTTTACTTGAACTTGTTTTAATTATTCTTATGTGAACAGCCTGTTTACCTAGTGGAGAAACAGCGTACGCGAACCACAACAACCAGGTGGCCCTTCTGGCGATGGGTGAACTATTTCTTCCGCACATGGTCCTGGACTTGGAATGCCATGTTCCTTTTTGGAGTATGTTTTGTGTACTGATTTTGTTCATTTCAATTTTTATTATCGAGCTTGATTTTTCTTTAAATTATGAATGTACATTACAGCATATATGTCTTTTTTTTTATTATTATTATTATTCGTAAAATGGATTACATCGTTTACTAGAATGTAAGCTGCTTACAGTTGCTACAAGCATTCCCAGTAGAATCAATAATAATAACAAAATTAGGATTATAGGAAGTACTTTTAATGTTGTTTATTTTTCAAAACTGTCTAAACAAAAGTTTGGAAATTTCCATTATAATAAAATTATAGAAACACTAAAATAAAACGATTTTTTTTTTCAAGAAATACTAAAACTTTGCACAAGATTCATGCGATTTAGCTCAGTATTTCCAGGAAATAACAGGAGGATATTAGTGACACTTCTCACGTCAAGAAAGGATTAAACAAATCTGTATGAAAATATACATTCTTTAATGATGGTTAGGTCAGTTTGAGATTATATGTATTTTATTAGAAGTATAATTAGATTAGAAAGTTTAATGATTATGTATTGGTTGACAAACCATTGTTGGTACTTGCTTTAAATTACACTAAAGTGTTGATGTGTATAGTATATCTGTTAATTAAAGATGCTTTACCCGGAAATATGTGAAATATACTGTTCATAATAATCTCTTTTTTTTTTGTAGTATTCTTGGCAACGTGAAAATTTGCATGATGAAATTTAAATATAGCATGTTTTTTTTCTTTAAAAACAGAAAATCTGGACTTTTATTTTTACTTCTGAAAAACAGTTAATTTTGTAACAAAGTTATGGACACACAAGCAATTTGGAGCCTAAATAATAGAATGTGAGGGAACCCCTGTAGTAGATAGTATGGTTAATTATGGTGTTGGGTGTATTCATATATAATATATAGATCCTCTAATACATTCTAAGTTTCTATAATATTCATATAAAATACCTTAAGAAGACTAACATGTATTAATTCATGAATGTGATCCTTAAGATTCTTTTAGTTTATTAATGTAATGTTTTTGTTTTCAGATTGTTGTACCTTGGTGTAGTCCAGTTAGTCTGAGAGCACTCTGTTCCATCAAGCCATTTATGCCTGATCTTGAGCTGAATCAATGTGATGTATGTATCAGAAGCCAATTGCAACTGTTTTTTTCATGATTACTAAAACAGAGTTTATGTATTGTTTACATTGCAGTGCTCTTGTGAGGATCCTGACAGACATTTTGAAAAACAAAACAATAATATAACAAGCATTACCTTTGAACCCTCGCACACATTACAACAATTTCTGGGTAGATCTGTGATGTGTGAACACAATTTGGTCTAGTTCAACTGTTCCAGTATATCGTATGAGAGAGGCCAAACACGTGTTATGGTTTATCACTTGCCCAGTTTCATGAACGTTGTGTTGATTTTCTATGTAATCTTTACAATGACAGTGAAAGGTTTGATGCGTCAGTTGATATGTTATCATATGCTTAATCAGTTTTCACCATATGTTTGAAGCAGGCATTCACGTCTTCTTCCAACTTCTTTTGATAACTGGTTGTGTTACCACACAGTTTAGGACAAAATTCCCACCTTATTCAAGGTATGATATGTGGGATGTCTGATAAGTCTAGAACCGTAGATGATTTGCAGCTTTTATTGAGTTACATGACTGATTATGGTGCTGTCAAAGCATGAAAAGGTTGAGTTAACCCTGATTTTAGAATCTACAAGTGTACATAAACTACACTACTTAGTTACGACCGTTATTGACATGTTTTTACAACGTGTTGATCAGTCTCTTTGTTTCTAGTGATAATTATTTAATTCATGATATTTGTTGAGAGATTAGATAAAATAATTCTGTTTTTTTATCTAAAGAATTGTTTGTTTAATGTCAGTCTGTTTACTTCTGTTTTGAGTTTTACACCTGAAATTCAGTGACTCGTTTGCTCAATGCATTTATCCTACGCTTTTTTCGTTTATAGTAATACTTATTGGATTATTTATGTGTATCATTAAAGGAGCTTTTATTATTCAAGTCAATGTGTATGAGTGTCTTCTTCAAACAATATTCTTAATATTATTATCATTTTTGTGAGTTTAAAAGACAATAAAACAGTACCTTTATTTTACTGTTTTGAAAATGGTGTATCTAATGATATATCTATTAAAGCTAAGTCAGATGTACCTTCTTTAGAGCGTGTGTAAATAAGACAGACATTTTGAAGCAAGCTGGGAACGATTAGCTACTGAAAACTGGTATTTTTTACTCAAAATGTCACACATGTTTGAAGTATTAAAAGACTGGGACATATTAGCAGCTGAAAACTAGCATTTCAGCAGTTTACCTACCACTAATTCAGCCCACAGTCATTATTTGATATGAACAATAAGTTAGTAGAAATGACTATTTTAATATTATTGTGATAGTTACCTTTGAGGGAGTTTGACTGTTGAAAATAGAGTTCTTTTCTAATTATTTTTATGCTTGATCCATTATTCTGTTTGTATGGAAAACTTAATTGTTTGTACAAAGCGTATGTTAAGCTCACTTCGTCACAGATTTAGTAAAGAAGCTAAATCTAGACCTCGTGCAAATTTCATATATTTGAATACACAAAACTGTATCTCATGGTTTTAAAATCTTAATAAATTAACAGAACTTCATTTAAAAGCATATATGTAAATGGTAATAGTGTACTAATGTGCATAGAACTGCATATAAACTGTATCATATAGCAAAAGATGAAATATCCAACAATTGGTTTCTGCATATTTTGTACTTAAACCTGGACCAACTTGAACTTAATGAAACCAACAGGATGATCAGTTGCTTATATAGAAAGTAACCGATACATGTATAGTTTATAAATACAGAAGTAATGTGTGTGTATTGATAGGCAAGTTGTTATTAAGAGGAATGTGGCCCATTTGAGTAAGACACGAACAGTTTTTTTTTTTTGTAAAAGTAATCCTTTGGTTGTGTAAATGTTGAAATATTAATTTCATGTACAATTATTACTAGCAATTAAAGTTTATAAGAAGAGATTATGATTTATGAACTTTATCTATTTGCAGTAATACCTCAGAAAAGTAATGGTTTCATGTCCATCTCTCTCTCTCTCTCTCTTAGTCTGTCTATTTATTTTGAAGGATATTTTGATGAAAAACAGGTGTAAATGCTGCTCCAGAGTATATAAATGTTAGGCTTAGTTTTATGTTGCAGTAATTAAGTTGTCAATATTTAGAACATGGGTTGTTCAATACCCTACCTTATTACAACCCTGGTTTGTGTTATTGTAAAACATCAGAATAACTGATTTATTTTATTTCATGGTTTAGGGTATTCTATATCCCAGAAAATCTTCACTGACTCAAACATTATGTTCAAGGCTTGTGATCCTTTGGAGACATATATCAAAATCTAGAACAGAGTTCGAGTCCAGGCCAGACACAGGTAAAATCCTAGAACTTCTATTTCCCTCTCTATCTCATGAACAAACCCACAAATCAACGTGTTATAATTAACATACAATATTTTGAAAGGACGTAAAGGATGCTTGCAAACATATAAAACCTCATCCATTTATGTTTTGTTAAGGTTTTATTGGCAAAGGATTTGGTCGTCACGTCAACAGGACATGGAACTATGTGATGAAAGGAGGCCTTGGAACTTTGTTAATAGTGTTAATCTTCCCATGCGTGTGCCTGCTGGTCTCGGGCGTGTCATTACTCATTGCCGTCAGTGCTCCAGTTTGGTAAGATTTGAAGATTTTTTTTTAAGTTATAACAATCACAAACCTACACTGTGCTCCAGTTTGGTGAGATATACGGTGATTGTTTCGGAAATTTTTATAACACACAGTTTTTTATGAGCTTAAAATTTAAAAGAATATTATTTTCATTTATTGGACTGACTGAGATTTCACATCAGACATGGAATGCTAACTGGCTGGTTTAAGTGTCAGATTGAACACACTTGTTTGTTTTTAGTAAACATTTACCCCTAAAATCAAATTTAGAACTACAGAACCTTAATTATTTATAACTTCTAATCATAGTGTTGCTATATAGTTAGGAACTACAAAGTTAATAAAACCAAACCTCTGACAAACTGATTTGAAGTTCATAATGTCCTAAACCAGTATATAATAAAAACTTTTAGTAATTAGAGTCCATTGAATTGTTAATTGGCTACCCTTGCTGTTCTTGGCTGTAAATCCAGAAAATATTTTACAAGATTTAGCCAACAAGATCTAGGTCAGTTGTAAATCCATATACCAAGCTGACAATCTGTAATAATAAAAGAGCTTGTGTGTGTTTGACCACCATAGCTCCAAGAGGAAAGAACCTTGAGACGTGAAACTTTGCAAGCATACTGAGGGTGTGCACCTGGGTATCATTTTTTAGATGTGACTGAAAAAAAAATGGCCAATTTTTGCCCCATAGTTTTGACCTTAAGCCCCATAATTATGCTTCCTGAAGGTATATAGAAAATCATCATATTTTTTTTCTAATTCTCACTGAATGAACAGTATATGGAGGTTTTCTGCCAAATATTCTTTTTGGTCAACATAGTCACTGGGAAGCAAAATATAAATCAGAGAATATTGTACAATTTGGAGAATGAAAAGAATTCAAATAAAAATGTAGGAGGAAAAAAGACAAATCTGTGAAGCTAAAACTATTCGCTTTTAAAAAGAGTTGAATTAAGTTTGGAAAATGGCAAAAAACAAATCAATTAAAGATTTGGTTCATTGGGGTAGCTATAGAAGTAATTAAGATAATGGAGGTTCTTGACTGGTGCATTGAGAACTCTGTGAATCATGAGGGGACCTTAGAATCCTGCAGCTAAGCATGGGTATTTTATGCTAGATCAAAATAATTTCCATAAATGTAAAAATAATATTATAGCTAAAATTAATCGAAACGCTGTAATCAAAAATGTTAATGAAGTTAACTTGAAAGAAAAGCGTATCAAAACACATAAAAAAATCAATTATTTGTTCCCAAAATTTTACTAATGCATAAAAACTGAGTATAAATTTTTATGTATTTGTAGTAATGCCTAATAAATTACAAAATACTTGGACAATACGGATTTGTTTTATGGTAATTTTTAATTTTCATATAGGAAACATTATATTAATTTGTTACAACACAAAATATTAAGTAAACTTATGGTTTAGATAGAAATGTCATAAAACAAAAAATTAAGCCAGTCAACAATAAACTTCAGTAAATAAACAGTTTGATCTATAAGATTAGGTAAAATAATGTTGTTATTTTAGGATGCCCGTTTCTACGTTGGTGTTCCACTTTTCCATGGTCCTGTTTTATGACTTTGATTCACCAGGTATGTTTGTAGTAACTTATTTTGTGTTTTGGGTTCAGTGCAGTGGAAGGTCATCATGTGTAAATTATTAGAAATCACATAATATTTATGTCTAGAAAACACTTATTAATTTGCAGTTTTCCTGCATCTTTTAATATATCATATTTATATAATAGAATATAAATCTATTAGAGATATCATAATCCTGAAATGGAATGTTAGGCCTCTAATTTTATTTATAATCAATGTTTTTCTTTTTCTTTTTTTTTTTGCTGTCAACTGTTGATGTCACTTAACCCTATTTTTTTTTGCTGTACTAATGATATTACTGCACTAAATATTTTTTTAAATTAAATAATGCACTAAAATTCAGAATAATAACATGTAAAAAGCACACAATATCGCACAATTTTTCTGACTAACCATGCGACTAGAGCCATTAAAAATTTAGCTAAGCTCGTCAATGTGTTTCCTGTGGAAATAAAATTTTAACTGGAAGTGAAATAGACAATTTTTCTGTACAGAAAAGAGTATAACATACTATGTCATTTAATAGATTAAAACCTTGGCTTTCTATTGGTTATAAATAATGTAGTATTAAACATCAGAGAGAACTATTGGCAATTTGTGAATGAGAGGATGTGACTGGAGGGCACGGGAAGTGGGGTCTGATTTTCTATCTTATGGCTCTGTAGCTAAATAAAATTGAAGGCTATAAAGATTATGCTTTGTTTGAATGATGACAGCACTATAATGTGTAATTTACCTTAATTTTCCTAATTTCCAGAGGGGTGGTAAGTAAATTAGAGAAGAGGGGATATCTACAGAACAAATGTCAATTCTCACACTAGAGGATTTTTTTTTCATATTGCCGTATAAAATTAACAACTAAAAACTTGTATAACATTAAAATTTGGATTATTAGCTACGATTTTATGCTATATAATTGATATAATATAAACAAAAAATAGTTTAATTAAATTTTGAATGTAACTCACTAAAAATCTCCTGATGTGCACAAAAATGATGCCCATTCTGGATGAGTTAAATTTTGGGGACAATTCTCTGAGGTGAGAAAAATGAAAACTTGATCAAAAGTGGGCTGAAATTATTGAGAGGACAGATTTTTGTTGCTCTCATTGGCTCAGTAGGAGGAGAGTCATCTTATTGATATCCGTGAACTGTTTTATCACCAGAGTAGAACAGTATCTTTGCACGTACATCACATGAATGTTCAATCTTATAAATACAGTGGCAGAAGTGTAAAATTTGAATTTGCAGTAAATTTATTATATTAAGTTATATTGTAATTTATTAGAAAGTTGTGGTTATTTTATTTGCATCTTAATCTTTTATAGTTCTGATAGTTGATGGATTTTTCTATATTGCTTAAAGTGTTAAATATTTATTGGATATTAATAAACTAAAAGATTTTTTTCATGATGTTAAACAAAACAAAAATTAGATGAAGTTGATCTCATAATTACTACATATTCTGTTACAGCTCCTACTCGTAATAAGCTGTTCTTGCTCCTGGAAGCCTTGGTCTGGAGGATAATTATACAGGGCCTCATTCAGCCAGTCATAGCACTTTTAATTGCTGCATTATTCTGTCCTGTTGGCTCATTACTAGTTCTTATTGGTGAGTAAGTTACATTAATCTGGGTAATAGTTTTATAATCAAGAGTTATAATTAATAGCTGTGTTAGTGGAACAGAAAGTTTTTTCAGATATAAATGAACTTTTAACTTTTGTAATACTTCACTATTACAGTCTGAGTAGAGCAAGTTTTCTATGAAAGTTTCGATTATTGTTTTCTAAAAAAAAACTATTTCAGTTTTTGGAATCATGATGATAATTAATTACTTGATTTTCTATAAAAAAAACAAAACAGAAATGTAATTATACAATTCAATTAAGGAAGAGCCAACAGAGTATTATGTTAAAACTATTTTGGAACCTCACCACTCGGTTACAGTTCATGTCATCACACATATTTCTGCTCTATCTAATGGCCAGCAGTTTTAAAATAATCTTGCAGTGTAGTTCTATTGCAAAAGATTCTATGATAGGTTGTAATGTTCAAAGAACACCACTCCTTCTTGAATGCCATACTTAATCCACCTAGTATACATGGACAATGCCTGTTACAACAGAAATTCATAGGTGCTACATCCAGCAACTTGACCAGTATGTCTTCCTAAAGAATAGCATGACTACCCATTTTGTTCTTTAGCTGCTTGAGGTATGTGATCATTGAACAGATACGTCATGGAAGCAGTTTGTGTACACGTGTCTTATGTTGCTTTTACAGGCAGAGATCCTTCTTGATTATGTTTCACACTGTTGCCTTGGTGACGTGGATGCTGTCAGGTTATCATAGTGATATTAGACATCCTGTATATGCAAGGAATATGTCTTAATAACGTTATCCAATCGTCTACATGGATATACCTTTGGTTATCATAGTGATATTAGACATCCTGTATATGCATGGAATATGTCTTAATAACGTTATCCAACCATCTACATGGATAGACCTTTGGTTATCATAGTGATATTAGACATCCTGTATATGCATGGAATATATCTTAATAATGTTATCTAACCATCTACATGGATAGACCTTTGGTTATCATAGTGATATTAGGCATCCTTTATATGCAAGGAATATATCTTAATAATGTTATCCAACAGTCTAGACGGATAGACCTTTGGTTATCATAGTGATATTAGACATCCTATATATGCATGGAATATATCTTAATAATGTTATCCAACCATCTACATGGATAGACCTTTGGTTATCATAGTGATATTAGACATCCTGTATATGCATGGAATATATCTTAATAATGTTATCTAACCATCTACATGGATAGACCTTTAGTTATCATAGTGATATTAGGCATCCTGTATATGCAAGGAATATGTCTTAATAATGTTATCCAACCGTCTAGATGGATTGACCTTTAGTTATCATAGTGATATTAGGCATCCTGTATATGCATGGAATATATCTTAATAATGTTATCCAACCGTCTAGATGGATAGACCTTTGGTTATCATAGTGATATTAGGCATCCTGTATATGCAAGGAATATATCTTAATAACATTATCCAATCGTGTACATGGATAGACCTTTGGTTATCATAGTGATATTAGGCATCCTGTATATGCATGGAATATATCTTAATAATGTTATCCAACCGTCTAGATGGATAGACCTTTAGTTATCATAGTGATATTAGGCATCCTATATATGCAAGGAATATATCTTAATAACATTATCCAATCGTGTACATGGATAGACCTTTGGTTATCATAGTGATATTAGGCATCCTGTATATGCATGGAATATATCTTAATAATGTTATCCAACAGTCTAGATGGATTGACCTTTAGTTATCATAGTGATATTAGGCATCCTATATATGCAAGGAATATATCTTAATAACGTTATCCAACTGTCTAGATGGATAGACCTTTTGCTTTTGATCATAATCTTCTCTTTCCCAGATCTTGAAAGGAGTGTATGAGAAGCTAATGAATGGTCATATATGTATCTTATATATAAGTATATGCGTGTATATCAATAAGATTCGCTTATGGTTATGAATAACAAACCACTGGAATATCACGGTTCTATTTTCTCTCGTTTATTAATTCCTTCAACTGGTTTTGTGACTTCAACTGTTATTCTTCAGGATATAATGTTACTGAGAATTTTATTGTTTTTTCTGTAAAACTGTTACTAAGACTCACAGAAAAAACAAAATTCTTTGTAAAAATTGTATTCTGGAAAATAATATTTAAAGTCACCAAACCAATTGAAGGAATTAATCAAGGAAAGAAAAATAAAATAGTCTGACATTCCAGTATTTCATTATATGGTTAAGTCAACATAAATATCATTGTGTGATACATGCAGGACATTGTGTGTGTAAAATAACATAAGTATTTACTTGAAGGAAATGTATTACTTTATTGTTACAGGAATACTTACTTGAATAAAATAACTAAGTATTAGTAAGAACTTTTGTTGTGGGAAAAACTAACTGATGTTTATACCTTTCAGTGGCCATGTTACGATGTTGCTGTAGACTGATCTGGGACTGGATCATTTTTCATCTTGTTATTAAAAAACGAGGGAGAGTGCCAGCATTGAGCAGCTGGTTAGTTCGTAGAGTGGAAGGACCAGGCTTATCCAATAACCATTATTTTAAGGTTAGTAAATCTCGTGTTGTCTTACCCTAACAATGTATAGATGTCACTGTAGGGTGGTCTGTATTCAGGCAGTAAAAACTGAAAATAGGAAGTTCATTTGGGGCAGATTGACCAGAAACTGAAGTAGACAAAATTTTCAGAAAATTGAAGAATGTTAAGGGGTTGCTCCTGGCCCTTGAACTTTACCCCTATGAATCACACATACAGACAGCTACTCAAACAAACAAAAAAACTGCACATGTAATTCAAGTCTCTCTAAAACATTCAAGGAAAAGGAAGAAAAAATTCATTACAAACAAATTTACTATGGAATATAAAAATGATTGGCCAGTATGCTCCCGTATTTGATGCTGAAACTCTGTGATGGTGCTCTTCTTTACATCAGGGAAGAAAACTGTGATGGTGCTCTTCTTTACATCAGGGAAGAAAACTGTGATGGTGCTCTCTTCTTTACATCAGGGAAGAAAACTGTGATGGTGCTCTCTTCTTTACATCAGGGAAGAAAACTGTGATGGTGCTCTCTTCTTTACATCAGGGAAGAAAACTGTGATGGTGCTCTCTTCTTTACATCAGGGAAGAAAACTGTGATGGTGCTCTTCTTTACATCAGGGAAGAAAACTGTGATGGTGCTCTTCTTTACATCAGGGAAGAATTTCGTCCTTTGATCCTTGACCACTAAAAGAAGGTACTGTTTTTCATCCTCACTGTGGTGTGAAGCCATCTTTATTTTTCCATGAGGGCCATGCTGCAATCTACGGTTATATTGATGACTTGGAGCTGCTCACATGTTTCTTTGTCTTGTTTCCATTGGAGAGGAAGGAGTCCAATTTGATGCCCATGATTTCCAAAAGCTAGAGGCATCAGGGTTTCTGCCTTTGCCTCCAAATCTTTTCCTTTGACTGTTGCTCTGTTCTGCTGATACCCATACCCATGGTTCTCGAGACTTTGTACTATGTGGCGCTTGGTCTCTACGGATATTTTGTTGTCAAAGCAAAGAAAACAATGGTCAAATTCCTCAAACAAATACAGGAGGTGGCAACTGAACTTCTTCAGTGTAGTGTTGGCCACCTGTGTATCTGAGATCTTGTAAGCATGAAGAGCCAGGATGAGCTGCATGTCATTCCTTGGAGCAGACAATGGGAGGCTGACATTGTACCATATTTTGATGTAAGTGGTAGACACAAATATGCAAATTCTTCACATTGCTAGCTTCTCTTTGACCATGAGGTTAAACTGATGATGAGATCACAGATGGCCAATACCATTGCTCCTGAGCCATCAACTGAACTCTTTGAAGTGACATCTCTTCTAGAAAAACCATCACTAACTCTAGTATTTCCCTATAGTCATCTCTGGGTTGCTGAGTCTGGAGTATCTCTTCAGTGAATGAAAAACTTTAATCACAGATGTCCGAAATAGCAGAAGTTGTAGCTTTGTTGTCCATCGCAGTCTGATCTGGAACCTTTTCTTGTTCAGGAATTCCACTTTTACTGAAAGCACTCGAAGAGTAAGATGTCTGGCCCAGCTAATGTTCCCATTCAAGTTTTGGAGACTGCCTCCAGTATCAGCTTGAGGATGTAATGCTTGTAGGCGAAGTGGGGCAAGCTTTTCTCCAACTTTTTCTCAAGAAGGACTGGGGCCCTATTCATGTTCCCAGTGTTCGATTTAGTGGCATCGAAACACACAGCTCAGACCTTAACTGCAATTTTTCAGGCTGGGACTGCCTTTTCCACGTATAATAAAACATAAAATTTTTAACATATTTTGCTAAAAATTGGTCCAAATTAATTTTTCATTAATCCTCACAAATCCCAGGGGTCCCCACTAAAAATTCAGAAGTTTGAAGATAAGGGCCACCCTTAGATCTGCTGCCATATTCAGGGAAGTCCAGAGGAGGATTATTTTCTGTGGCCAGGATTCAATCCTTGGTCTTGATGAAAGTTGGGTGTGTTATCCAGTCTTGTATTTAGTTTTGAAAAAAAATAGTTGGTAATCAACAGTTAAACTTATAAGATTGTATAGGCTACTAATCAAAACAGTAACTGATATGCAGTTACCACAATCTTTCTGTAATTAATTAATTTATAGATGTGTGTGTGTCCAGACAATGTGAAGACTAAGAAACTTGCAAATAGATGTCATGTGTTAGGCTAAAGCATTCTAAAGTATTTTTAATGAAATAGGCTTAAATACAGTATAACATTGTGCTGTACTTAGTATGAAAATCATATTATGTTTAACATTATTTGTTATATTGAACTTTATTTTCTGTCAATAGGAGTCTCTGTTGATTGTTTGTTTCCCTTTAGATACTTCCTGAACAAGCCCTGGCTGCTTTTGAAGCTAAGCTAGAGGTAGAAGAACTGGGTGCTTTCAGAGAAGAAGTAGAGAGAACTATTGTTCAACCTCAACAGGCCTACAGGTAATTAAAACAGATGTTGTGTAACATGTTTACAGTAAACATGTTACACAACATCTGTTTAAACAATACATACTATTATTCAGTAAGAACAAGTTTAAACAATACATACTATTATTCAGTAAGAACAATAAGATGTTGTGTAACATGTTTACTTGTTCTTACTGAATAATAGTATGTATTGTTTAAACAGATGTTGTGTAACATGTTTACCTTGTTCTTACTGAATAATAGTATGTATTGTTTAAACAGATGTTGTGTAACATGTTTACATTGTTCTTACTGAATAATAGTATATATTGTTTAAACAGATGTTGTGTAACATGTTTACATTGTTCTTACTGAATAATAGTATATATTGTTTAAACAAATGTTGTGTAACATGTTTACCTTGTTCTTACTGAATAATAGTATATATTGTTTAAACAGATGTTGTGTAACATGTTTACCTTGTTCTTACTGAAT